ATGCCCTCTCATCAAAGATGGTGTTGTAGCAAAAGTGTAAATAATATTGTAAATTCAACCGAACTCGGTCATGTTAGTGTGCAAAATACCCCACGAATACCCCCATGATCATGTGAGGAAGATCCCCGATCACCAAGTTCCTCGGGAGTTAGATGTCATAGTTGATGACAGTGGTAGTGAGACCAAATTTGATTAAGAATGCTTGTATACTCATACTCAAAACTTTAGACCGCACCTCATGAGTAACATGTGGCGATGGGTCTGTAGGAAATCGTTGGTGCGATTTCTGTCTGTGTTGGTGCATATTTGGCGGCAGATATGTAGGGAATCGTTGGTGCGATTCTGGCATATGTGGCGGCAGATGTGTTGTAGCATATTTGGCGGTGGATATGTTGAGAATCGTTGGTGCGATTCTGGCATATGTGACGGCAGATATGTAAAGAATCGTTGGTGCGATTCTGGCCTGTGTTGGTGCACAGAGCCCCTCGTGTATTGTAGCATATGTGACGGCAGATATGTCGAGAATCGTTGGTGCGATTCTGGCATATGTGACGGCGGATATGTGAAGAATCGTTGGTGCGATTCTGGTCTGTGTTGGTGCACAGATTTCAATGAAAGTTTCACGAGTTGAATATGCATTGCTTATAAATTGTAAAGAGTAACAAAATTGTTAAAATTACTGTGTTGGAACTTGTTGATCGGACCTTCCACGATAAATCATGTTGTGCAGGAAGCACTGTGTAAGAAGCCTTAATAACAAGGCATTGTCAATTGTGACAGTTAGCTATTGTACTTAGACTTAGGAGAAGTAAAGTACCATTTGGAATCGACCTTGTTTCCATTGGCAGAATAGCCGAGCTAGATTAATCACTGAGCATATTTTGTTTCCAGGCACTGAAACCGAGGACTGATGCTAGTCAGGAATGGCCGTGTCGTGAATTGATGGCGCCATAGTGAAACAAGCAGCACCATCTAACAATTAGTTTTCAGAACTAATAATATGTACCCACTCATGTCAGGATGGACGAGCGGACGAATTGTTGTTTGTTACAGGAATGCATAAAGATACACGCCCGAGGACGGTCGTACGTCAGGATGGCCGTGTCGGAGTGTCTATAAAATACCCGGTTGAATCGAGGTTGAATGGAGGGTATATCGAGAAACCCCCTCTTGTGTCGGTAGTATAAAGTTCACTGTAGGTGCCGTGCGAGGGAGATTCCGCTCAAGTCATTCAACGAGTGCGGTCACTCTACTAGTGCTAAGATAGTGTCGTGGTTCTGTTCGTTGTTGTAATTCTTCTAGTGCAGTCAAGGAGGATTGGTGTTGCTGAGATGCTGTCCTGTTACATTGAGATAAGTAGTGTTGCTGTTGGTTTACATATTTTGGTGTTATCATGTAATTACGTACCTCACGTTACACTGGTGTGTGATTGTGGCAGAGACGTGTTACGGTGTGGTCAAACTGTAATTTCACTATACTGAATGTATAGTGCGTTACGTTGTCTTATTACTGATAATGATTAAACTGCGTAAGTAAGAGAGCAAGTTGAACATCCGCTCTCACACTTTTATTATTTTAACAGTTAACGCTATCCTGATGTATTTCCAAGATCACAAGTGGAATACTCTGTTGTAATCTCCGACACCAGAAGTGGGATTTCCTGTTGTCATTTCCGATATATATATTTAAGGCTGTTGGTAATCATACGATAATCGTATAAATTAAAAATATTTATTTGACTATAATTTTAATAACTAAAAAGTTCAATATTATATTTTAATTTATTTATGGATAACGATTATATCATTATAATTTAGTCATTGTCGGTTCTACGAGCTATATGACCAGCCCATTGCCACTTCAGCTTACTAATCCGATGGGCTATGTCGGTCACTCTGATTCTACTGCGGATATCCTCATTTCTAAGTTTATCACGCAGAGAAACTCCGAGCATAGCCCTCTCCATAGCTCGCTGAAAAACCTTGAGCTTCCTCATCCGACCAGCAGTGAAGGACCACGTCTCAGTACCATAGGTCATCACTGGTAACACGTACTGGTTGTACAGTCTTGTTTTCAAGTTTTGAGGTATATCTGATGAGAAGATGTGCCGTAATTTCCCGAACGCTGGCCAACCGAGTTGAATCCGTCGATTGACCTGTCGGTCGAAAATGGACTTACCTAGTTGGACTATTTGTCCCAGGTAAACATACTCGTCAACAACTTCGAGCTTAGTGCTCCCAACAACTACCGGCATAGGTGTGACATGGACATTAAACATGATCTTTGTTTTGTCCATGTTCATCTTAAGACCTATCCGTTGGGAAACACTATTGAGATCATTGACCATAGTGCTTTCTTTTTCCAGCGATTATGCCATAAGGACTATATCACCGGCAAATCGAAGGTGAGTGGTGTACTCGCCATTGATGTGAATACCGTATCCTTTCCAGTCCAGAAGCTTGAAAACGTCTTCCAATGCAGCGGTGAAGAGTTTCGGAGATATCACGTCACCCTGCCTTACACCTCTCTGCAATTGGATAGGTTTCGTACTCTGGTTCTGTACTGGGATAGCCATCGTAGCCGCACTGTACAAGCACTTCAGCACTTCGATATACCGACCGTCAACTTGGCATCGCTGAAGGGACTGCAGCACCGCCCAAATTTCTAAGGAATCAAAAGCTTTCTCGTAGTCCACATACGCCAGACATAGTAGCAAATTGTACTCCTCGGACTTCTGTACAATTTGCCAAAGGGTATGTATGTGGTCTATGGTGCTAAAGCCTTTTCGGAAATCGGCTTGTTCGGGTGGCTGGAAGTCGTCAAGTCTGCGCGCGAGACGACTCGTAATGACTCTCGAAAACAGCACTTAGACGCTCAGTGTGCCTAGTGCGAGTTCCACAAAATAATTCGAATGACTTCACCATCGCGTTAACCGAGTTAACGTCATACCTATCGACAAGTGAAGACAACCGAGTGTGTGTTACAATCGAAGCTAACCTTTCGATTCGCGTTTACTCACCGTGAATCGCGTTCGTTCCTTCTCTTATGTTGGTAACACGTGAGCATCGTGAGATAAACTAACCAAGTTTAGGATGACATATTTACTTAGTCGTCTTAATATTAGAAGCTGTCTATCAAAGTTGTGGTTATTATAGCATCTTTCATATACTTTGACAGTTTGTGTTTGTTGTGAACTTACGATTTATTTATTTTAATTGAAAATATTAAATTATAATTATAAGTAAAAAAATAAGAAGACTAGTTCGTCCCAATTCGATTTGATGGTGACATTTATGGAGCAGTAAGTTGAATTTAATTTATTTAGTGTTTAGGGAACATATTAATATGTTGTTGTATATTTTGTAACTAAGGTGGTTTTAGGCATGGAGATCTCAGCAAACCATCCAATAACAATAATGCAAGAGGTAGGATGGCTTGTATAAAAACTACAGTAAAGTAAATATTTAAAAAAGGCTGCTCGTCTACATAAAGCAGCTAGAGGTACTGGTGGTGGGCCTGCTACACATGTTAAATTGACAGATTTGGAACAAAGAGTCCTAAATCTGATTGGTGTACAAGTAGCTACGGTCTTGGCAGTTGAAGAGGCTGGGTTGTCACAGGTTACAACTTTAACTGAAATTAAACCACCTGCTAGTAGGTTATATTATCTTATAAATTGTATTTTCTTTTAGGGGACTTATGTTCAGGCTAATCCCACAGTGAATCTTGAACAAGGAATACTACCACAACCGCATCAATCAGTAGAATGTAAGTAGCATATTATTAACAAATTATTAACAGTACATATTATATTATATTAACAATGTTTTATTTTTTATTTTAGGTACTTCACAACCTGCTTAGGAAAATATTGCCCCACAACTGCCACCAACACTGCCAAGGCCTATATCTTCACCATCTCTTGCCTTTGCAGAGGAAGTTCAAAGTAATATATAACTTACTTATTAGACAGTATAAAATCTTCAGGCTCGTAGTACTGAGTTTGTTCCGGGAATCAAACCCAAAAATTCTTGCTTGGCAGCAGCACTTGGAACCACTAAACCACGTATTGTGTGTGTGTGTGTAAGTCTTCTTTCTCCAAATAAATTAAAAGTAATAAAATATACATGAGCCACTCAATGTACACTCAAGTAGTTAAATATGAATAATCTTACTTACAGATAAAAATTACATTAATTTTATAAATTTACAAGCCAACTTGTCTGTCTTTTTGGTTTTTGTACACAACTACTAAGTATATTGATTTTGTTGAAAGTTTCATTTATATTTTTCATATTTAAGGTTCTCAATCTTGGAACGACCCAGGGCCATCAACACAACCTCATGTTGCCTCAGCAAATACTGTGACATCTCCGCTTATTTCATTTGTGGAGGTACTAATGGAAAGTAAGATAGAACTAATTATTCATGAAGGTGATAATTGTTAAATAAATTTGAAATTATTACAGATACGGGCATGCTCACTCCAACTATGATCTCATCTCAAGTCCAAGAAAGTCAACTAGGGCCTGCTTTGTCGGGGCAAACTACACCTTGCCGTGCAAGACCAATCCTCATCTTTGACATCTCGGTCGAACAAGTTACTTTGTTTTGAAAATCGCTCCGCATTTTTATATCAATAACCAGTGTTAAGTTCAACGAATCCTAAAAATCTTTGAATATCCTGTTTGTGTGGTATCTAAACAATAAGACTGTAAATAGTGTATAGTACAAACTGCTAAATTATAGCTGTTTTCGAAATAAAAGTGAACAACAATTTTACCACTAAGAAATTAATCACAAGTGTGGGGTAAGTGGTAAAGCCTGCAGCGCAGAGCATACGCGCGGTTAAGTGTTCGACGTAACCGTGAAAACCGTTTGCAGTGAGCGTAGCGTATCGCAGAGTTGATATTTCCAAAGAATAGTGCGGTGCATATTGGGCAGTTGGTTGAAATTTATATTACTATTTCTGAGACGATATATTTATTACCTAATTGGCCATGAAGTGCGCAGGTTGTCTGAAGGTTACTAAGAATGCAAGTGTCATTACATGTACATCGCCAAAATGCGAAAAAACATATTGCTCGTACTGTATTAATTTAACATCAGTTACAGGGGAGGGGAAAAAGTGCTGGAAGTGCCCCGAGTGTAGTGCCTCCAAGAAAAAAGGCGGCGATAACACCCAAACGCCAATACGCCCTAACCCAGATTCGCAAAACGTTACGATGCGCAAAAAGGATGTCTCCGACTGTCAGACTTCTGAGGCAGAAATAAGAGAATTAACAGCGGTAATCGCTCGCTTAACTAGCGAATTTTCGACACTAAAAACAAAGTTGGAAGAAGTGACGCACTCTTTATGCCATTGCGATGAAAGAATGGACGAGTTAGTCCGGGGCATGTCAGCCAATGAAAATCGCTTGACAAAACTAGAAAAACGCGATCAGGAAATTATAAACTTGCATGCATCTGTGGCCCATCTACAAAATGAGCTGAATATACAAGCACAACAGGGGCTCCGCAACGAAATAGAGATCGTCGGTATACCAGAAGGTAATAATGAAAATCTAGAACATATTGTTAAGGTGGCCGCACAAAAAGTTGGAGCACAGTTGGAAGACGTCGACGTGGACTGGATTACCTGCGTTGGACCTCGGCGCCTGGCTGTACCACCTAATGTTCCAGATGGTGGCAGTAGAATGCCTCGACCCATCGTAGTCCGTTTGCTCCGGCGATCCAAGCGCGACCAGCTACTAAAAGCCTTCAAATCAAGAAAGACCCTCACCAGCGCAGACCTGGGAATAATTGGCTCGCCGATTAAAATTTTTTGTAACGAACGACTTACGAAAGAAAATAGACTTTTATTTCGTGAAGCCAGAGCGAGAGCCAAAACCCATGATTATGCATTCTGCTGGTGCAACCAGGGTGCAATATATATTAGAAAACGAGAAGGGAAAACTGCAACACTTATTAGAAGTAAACACGATCTGGACCGTCATCTGCCAACTAAAGAGGATATCTAAAAACTATTACAAACACATCATATCTCTAATTTTCTTGCATGGTGCAAAATATATGTCAATATTTTTGAATAATTCTGTTTACGATATCATTTTTAAAGGACCATATTTAATTGCACTCTACTGTACTGTAATGATTGATAAGATAACAAGTTGTACATTTTTAACGGCATTGAAATCTGGGGTAAGTTTTTGTACTTTAATACTGTATATCACGAAAAAATTTATGAATCATATATCCAGTATCATACATATTGATTTACATGTTCACATATATATACATACATTTGTTATAACTATTTATTTAATACATTTCATAATAATAACCATATTATATTGTCATCATCATCATCATTACAGCCCTTCACAAGTCCACTGCTGAACATAGGCCTCCCCCAAAGAATGCCACAAAACACGGTCCTGAGCCACCTGCATCCATCATCTTCCTGCATGTCTTACCAGGTCGTCACTCCATCTCGTGGGGGGACGCCCTACACTTCGCCTACCGGTACGAGGCTGCCACTCGAGAACCTTTCTTCCCCATCGGTTGTCGGTTCTTCGAGCTATATGGCCGGCCCACTGCCACTTCAGCTTACTAATCCGTTGGGCTATGTCGGTCACTCTGGTTCTACTGCGGATATCCTCATTCCTAAGTTTATCACGCAGAGAAACTCCGAGCATAGCCCTCTCCATAGCTCGCTGAGCGACCTTGAGCTTCCTCATACGGCCAGCAGTGAAGGACCACGTCTCAGTTCCGTAAGTCATCACTGGCAACACGCACTGGTTGTACAATTTCGTTTTAAGGTTTTGAGGTATGTCTGACGAGAAGATGTGTCGTAGCTTCCCGAACGCTGCCCAGCCGAGTTGAATCCGTCGATTGACCTCTCGGTCGAAGTTGGACTTACCCAGTCGGACTATTTGTCCCAGGTAAACATACTCGTCAACAACTTCGAGCTTAGTGTTCCCAACAACTATCGGCATAGGTGTGACATGGACATTAAACATGATCTTAGTTTTGTCCATGTTCATCTTAAGACCTATCCGTTGGGAAACACTATTGAGGTCATTGAGCATAGTGCTTAGGTCCTCCAGCGATTCTGCCATAAGGACTATATCGTCGGCAAATCGAAGGTGAGTGATGTACTCGCCATTGATGTTGATACCGTATCCTTTCCAGTCCAGAAGCTTGAAAACGTCTTCCAATGCAGCGGTGAAGAGTTTCGGGGATATGACGTCACCCTGTCTTACACCTCTCTGCAATTGGATAGGTTTCGTACTCTGGTTCTGTACTCTGATAGCCATCGTAGCCCTACTGTACAAGCACTTCAACACTTCGATATACCGACAGTCAACTTGGCACCGCTGAAGGGACTGCAGCACCGCCCAAATTTCGACGGAATCAAAGGCTTTCTCATAGTCCACATACGCCAGACATAGTGGCAAATTGTACTCTTCGGACTTCTGTACAATTTGCCGAAGGGTATGTATGTGGTCTATGGTGCTAAAGCCCTTTCGGAAACCGGCTTGTTCGGGAGGCTGGAAGTCGTCAAGTCTGCGCGCGAGACGATTCGTAATGACTCTCGAAAACAGCACGTAGACGCGGCTCAGAAGGGAAATCGGTCTGTAGTTCTTCAAGAGAGCGTTGTCACCTTTCTTGAAGAACAAGACCACCGCACTTCTGCTCCACGCCTCCGGTGTAATGCCACCATGGAGGACGGAATTAAAGAGCTTCTGAAGGACTTCAAGTACCGGTCTTCCACCCGCTTTCAGAAGTTCCGCTGTAATTCCATCCTCGCCTGGGGCCTTACCGTTTTTAAGGTGCTGGAGAGCCATCCTAATCTCGCTCAGACTGACGTCCGGGATATCTTCGGAATAGTGTCGGATGAGACTCGCTCTTGGATCGTTACTCACACTTGCGTGTGGCTCCAACGATGATGTGTACAGCTGCCCATAGAACCTCTCAATCTCACTCAAAATCTCAGGTGTCCCGGAAACGATGCTGCCACATTCTGTCTTCAGCTTTGACAGTTGGCTCTTTCTGGCAGACAGATCTCTGGCAAAGACTTTGGAGCCTTGGTTCCGCTCGATCGCTTCTTCAATACGAGCTGTATTGAAGTTGCGTAAGTCCCGCCGCATGCATTTGGAGATCTGTCTGTTCAGATGCCTGTATGCTGTCAAGTCTGTTGAAGAATGTAGCTTCATCTCCCGTCTAACAGCCATGAGATTAAGAGTGTGATCGGAGAGTTTTTGTGTTCTTCTGCGGCGGGTCTTGCAGAACTTAGCTCCAACCGCATGGACAGTTTCCACGAGCTTGTCATTCATATCGTCCACTTCATTGCAGTCTTCTAGGCACTGAAAACGGTTTTGTAACTCGAGCTGAAAGGTTTCGGGACTTTGAAACAGAGCACGAGGGGGACGGAGCGTTGACTTCATTAGACGAGACCTCTCCAACTTAACGTTTAGGTTCAGTGTGCCTCTAACCATTCGGTGATCGCTACCAGTTTTCACCCTTGCGATCACGGAGACATCACTGAACAGTTGTCGTCTGGTCGTCATAATGAAGTCAATCTCATTTTTTGTGGAACCGTCGGGGCTCGACCAGGTCCACTTCCTGTGGGGCCGCTTCTGGAAGAAAGAGTTCATCATAAAGAGTCCCTCTTTCTCCATGAAGTCGGCCAGCTGCTGGCCCCTTGGGTTCCGTTGCCCTATTCCAAATTTCCCTACTTTCAGCTCACCGTTCTCTCTTGTGCCTAGTTTTGCATTGAAGTCTCCCATTAACACCGTATATTGGGTTTTGGAGGAATGCATGGCTCTAGAGATATCCTCATACATTTCCTCCACCTCCTCATCGGGGTGTGCCGAGGTTGGTGCGTAAACCTGTATGACCTTCAGCGAATACCGTTTGGTGATTCTGAGTATAAGGTACGCAACCCTCGTCGACACACTCCCGATTTTTACAACGTTGTTAACGAGAGACTTGTGGACGATAAATCCGACACCTCCTTGGGACAGATGGTCGCCCTCCCGGTGATAGAGCAAGTTGCCGGATTCGAGGATTACCGTGTCCTCCCCCTCTCTTCGGACTTCAGATAATCCTATAATATGCCAGCGCAACTTGTCTATCTCTTCTTCCAGCTCCACGATCTTCTCGTCAGTCCTCAGGGTGCGTGCGTTGTACGTTGCCAGGTCGAGTCGTCTAAGGTGGCAACCGAACCTCCACCGGAGATTCTTAGCACCCCCTGCCCCGCCGTTACCATGGTCGCCACCGTAGCCAGGAATAGCGGGGCCGCCGGGGACTGGGGGCCGTTTTTTTGTTGCTCTCATCATTGGGGGGGTATTTGCCATAGTTGCCACGCTTGGCGAGCGGGTTGGCAACCGCAGTTTTTTTATTGTCATTTGGCTATTATCAGGAAGATGCTGCTGCCCATCTCCTGGCTGTTTCCCTTTGTCGCCTTTTACGACACCCACGGGAGGATATGGGGTAGTGGATATTCTTGACCGCCACTACACGGCTCTCACAGAATACCAGCGTAAAATAGCAGCATAACACTGCTGTGTTTTGTATGGTGAGTGTAGAGAACCAGAGACCCGTTTTGCTGGAAAAGAGGCATTCCATCTTAGTCCTCACGGGTGACAACTCATCAACAACAACAACAAACAACTCAACTCGCAACAAATTAACATACGTATGGTATACCTTGTTTTTGGATAGCTTATCGAACCAAAAGAGATAGATGATAATTTTGAAACTGAATTAGACTCGATTAAGATTAATTGCTATAATGTCAGTGAACTAGAGCAGTGTAAAGCCAAATTTTCTCAAGAACATAACTTTAAATTAATAAATTTAAATATTAGGAGTATTCAAAAGAATTTTGATAATTTCTTGGTAGCAATGCGACGAACAGGTATTGTTTATGATGTTATAATCTTAACAGAGTGTTGGCTAAATGATATGATAAATATTCACCAGCTGCAAGGATATAACGTCTATAAATCTGAAAATAACTCAAACCAAAACAGTGGCGTTGTAATTTACGTTAGAGACATATGGCGAGCAACGGTTTCAGAACCATGCATTAACAATTCTAGTTGTTTAGCGGTACAAATTCTAGACATGATTTCTATACTAGCTATCTATCGCTCTCCGTCCTGTAGAAATATAGGAGATTTTCTGGCGTCACTTCATTCCTATATACATTCCGCAACTAACAGTTGCCCCCTTATAATTACTGGCGATATGAATGTCAATTTATCAGATAGTACAAACACTCAGGTTTTGGAATATCAATGTGTTATGGCGGAATATGGTCTACTACCGGCTATTACAGAGCCTACCAGAGGAAAATCATGTCTCGACCATATCTATCTCTCAGATTCTGAACTAAGCCGGAAACCAGTCGGGATTGTCTGTCAGTCTAATATAACAGATCACTATCCGGTTATGCTGGGTCTGAATTTAAATAAAATTAAACCCATGCGGCCGAGCCGAACAGTTCTCAAAAGAAATTTTGAAGGAATTAAAAAAGATCTCTCTACTTTTGACTGGACTGTAGTTACCGACAAAAAAGAGGTGAATGAAGCGACGAGCATTTTCACAAATATATTAGTGAATACATTAAGTAAGCATACGCATGAAGTGAGACTAACCAGAAGAGAATATAATTTAAAACCCTGGATCACACCGGGACTCATCAGATGCATGAAACATAAGGACCGACTTCACCAACGCACAAAGCTTGAACCTGATAACGTTCCGCTTAAGGTCACCTATACTAGATATCGGAACTTTTTTATTGATATCTTGCGTAAACGTAAATTAGATTTTGAAACCAATAAACTAATCGAAAATAAGAATAACCCACGAAAACTCTGGAAGTCAATTAAATATTTTTGTAATTTTCCCAACAGTAAAAACGATTCCACAGAATTATTAGATATGAAATGCTCTGATATAACAAGTTCCCCACTTGACTTATGTAATAGCTATTTTTCAACGGTAG